CCGTGAGTTGATTTCTAAAAGATCAAAAGTTTTCGGAAATTCAGTACTTTTAACACTTACATTGGTTGTCGAGCTCCTTACTATCAAAAGGGATGCAATGATTTCAATGCTCGTGTTTTCTTTTGCAATACGGATCGAGTGGCTGTGGTGGGTAGAGATTGGGTTCTCTTCGCTTACAATTTTTTCTAAAAGATCCTTAACAAAAACCTAACATAATCCTGTATCTTTGAATGCTTACCGCTATAAAACTGCTTTTTTTATTCTCATTTTGTTTAGTTTTGTCTAAAGATATCGTAATCCTTGTCTTTTGTAAGATTACCTCAAGGTAGAACTCTTGAGCTGATATTAGGTAATCCACTAAGACACCAGTTTTAGACCATCTTTTAGGACACTTCTGATCAAGAAGTAAATCTGATGGTTCAAGCCCTCAAATTTCAGAATGCCTACAACGGAACTTGTGACACAAAGGGACTTCTCAAACAATGTCCACCTTATCGATGAATCTTTTCACGAAGCTGTGGAATAAAATTATGCATCATTCGTTGATTGGACAATCGTTTTTCTTTAACAATTAAAAACATTACAAAAAGCTTCGACTTTTGATTTTTATTATTTTAATTTCATTTTTAATTTTATTATTTTGTGTCTTGTTGCTTCTCCTTAGTAAAAGAATTTCTAAAATTCTACTAATTCAGATCCATTTAGACAATACTTGAAATAGATTCGCTTCTCAAAAATCACACGAAGCAGTTGAGATTTTCATCACATTGGAGAGCTCCTTGAAAAAAACATTCTTGGCCGCCACAATATGTTTGCCTCTCCATACAGCCGCTATTGCATAGTAGAAAAGTTTTTGATTGGTGATGTCCAAATCGAGATAAAGTTTCTTCTAAAATACAACAGAAGATTGCCTTAAGAGGCCTCACAATTTACTCGCAACGCTTGTAACAATGATAGAGCCAAAACGTAGATGTAGATTTAGAAATTTAAAATATCTGCCCTCATCAATTTCCCCAGAAAAACCACAGCAATTCATCACCCGGCTTCGGAGTCTCTCAAAATTGAGCAGGATTTCACAGTTTAAAAGAACCATTGCTACTTGCACGTACAGATTACCAGGTCTGGAAACAGACTAACAGGCTTTTATGGATAATTTGCTTGCCGGGCAAAATAGTTGTAACCAGATCTAACTAACTATAAGGCTTATAAATCAGGCCGAGCCCAGTCAGAAGCCAATTTGAAGTCTGGCTCCAGATCCAGATACTTTTGTCGGTTGATTTTGTTGCAATATCAAGCAAGTTCAAAAGAGAAAGAGAAAATGGAGAAGCTGAAACGAGGAAATGATTTCGTGATATTCTATCATTTGTTAGCCGAAATATTCAGGTTTCAACTGAATATCTTTTTGACTTCACAGTGCTATAAATCCCTTGAATCAACGTCATTTCTCATTCATTTTTTATTTCTTTCGAATGACTGGTCTACCCACTTCACCGCCTTCTAATATCAATGCTGCAAAACGTTTTCAACCAGGGTAAGGATTTTTGAACTTTAAACGGTACTATCTCGATCTCAAGCAGGTTTGTGCTACTTTTAGCAAGTGTTGTTTCCGAGCGAATTGAATGGTGATAGCTTTAGAACGTTTCAAGGTTGGGAGTGGTGTTTTGCACCATTAAAAACCTCAGTGTTACAAAATTTGTTGGGTTAGCCATGAAAAGTTGCAAAATAAAGGAATCGGATTGAGTTCGCCATGCTGAATAAAAGTGGTGGTAGAGAAGGTGGTTTTGGCTTCTAAAAGGTGGCAGGAGGAATGTCAAAGACTATTTTTGTACAATATTGATTTACAGAGCACTGTTTTGACTGTACCGTAACGTTTCTCGTCCTTATCAACCTATTTTCTTCTAGTCACCGATTCGCAACTCTCGACAAGCCCTGCGTGCCGGATCCGTGCGCAAAATGAGGACGTCACCACGAAGCTGATTCGGCTGTGCAACTGCAAGGGATCGATCGCCTGCGTTCACAACCGATGTCTGCTTCAATGGGTCACGACAACAAACAAAAAGGTGGAGCTATCATTTCATTAGAGGGTTGTAAATTGTATTTGAAGCAAACCATTATGTAAACAGAAATGTGATCCACTTTTGAATGGGGCAACCTATGCTCTATGAGCTGCGAAACGAATTGAACTTAGGACAGGTGCTACAAAGCGCGGTGCAGTTGTGCCATTATATTTGCACGGACTAAGTAGCTTTGCATTTTCGCCCTCAAAGTTTATGTTTGCCACGTAGGGCTTGTTGAGAGTTGCAAATCGATGACTCGGAGAAAATTGTCACGCTTTAGATGATTCGTGGGAGGACGAGGTTAAGGAGAGTATTCAATTACTTGTAAAACTTATTTTTTAGCTTGACTTTCGTTGTTCAACTGCCTGGTTGATCTTCATGTCAACGCTCTTTTTTTTGGTCGTCAGGTCAGTCATATCATTGAATATTATACGTATTTTATTCTTAGAAATGGTCTATTCGATCTTCGAAATCTCGTCGGCTGTGTTATTGGAAACAGCACAATCTGGTATAAATTGTGGTAAGGGGTTCAATTTTCGTCCAAGTCTAGGTTCTTTTAAAGTGACTAACGTTTTTTCTCAATGGGCTCTACTATGGATCAACTGTGCCTTTGGTGTACGATCAATGGATGTTCGAGAATTCTGGCTTCAAATTCAAAAATCGCGATGACGCTGATGTGTAAGTGCTTATTGGACAGTCATAGGAAATTAAACAAGGAGATTTAACTAATTTCCGTATCTATCTAATGTACTTTTTAGTTTAACTGCCCAAACCACGTCAACGCATTCGATCAACGATGAGAAAAGACTCCACAACCGATTGGAATAAACGATACTTGGAAAGATTTAGTTAATGTGAGGTAATAAATTGCACTTGATCATAATGGAGTTATTTTCACTTATGGTGGAATGAGCGCGCAACCACTTTTTTCTAGAAATTTTTCTATTTTTTTTATATTTTTCAAATTTAGATTTCAACTGGACCATTAATCTTCAAGGATAACAAACTTTACAGTTTTTGGATGAGTAGATGCTACGAAAATAAGGACAATGTAAAGGTAAGCATACGGTTTCTTTACTTGAAACTTGAACAAGTGTCTGGTACTTGCGGGGCCACTAAAGGCAATTGTTGAATCGTGTATTTGAAAGCAAAACTAGTGTTGGTTTTCCTCAATATGAATCTCGCTAACAAGTTTAATGTGTCTCAAACTGACTCAAAATAAGTATCTTAATTGTTTGATTTCAGGATGAGTGGGCTTCCGAGAAAGCTTAAAAAGACCATGCTTCCAGCAGGCTCACTGAGGCCCGAAGATGTGGCGATGAGACCCCATCCATCGATCAATGCAATGGAACCAGGAAAACGACGGATTTCAATGGTAATGGTAGACTGGTTTGATGGGACGTGTCAAACATTGCGAAACCTCTGAGTAAATTAGCTTTGAAGCTAAGTAATAGATTGTAACAATTAACAAGCATTGAGAATAACTGAAAGTGTTTTCAATTAATGGTTTTAAAATTACAGGTCTCTGCTCACAACGCCATCCCTTTGACGAAGAAACCACGAAACGAGGAACCATCCCCTTTCAAATAAACCAGTGTTTTTAATGTTTAATATTAGGAGTCAACCCCAATTACATCCATTTCTCCTGCAAGCATTTCTTGCCGATTGTTTGGGAGAACGCATTTGGATTGACAAGGTTTGTTGTACTTTTTCTTGAGAATCTTCAGATAACATGTTTTAGCCGCACAGTGAACAACTCGTCTCGTTGATTTTGAAACGATTCAACACGAAGTTTCCATCGTTTGATTCAGTGCTGTACAAAATGACCGCCGGGGAAATTTCACCGCCTGCATGGATTCCTAATTCAGTAAGTGCACAAAAATTTGCTTTTACAGTGAAATTTTTAGGATGTCGTTGACAAATTTCCGCCAAATACAGAAGGGATGACGGAAGAGGAACGAGAAAAAGAGCAGAAGAGACGACGAAAGGAGAAGGAGACTGGAAAACGTTCTTTTTAGAGTTTTATTAGAAAAGAAAATTGTAATAGCACAGCAAAAAGAACTGATTTGCCAAAAATAGATCCATGCCGTATTTATTCATGCTCAATTTTTTCAATAGATCCATTCAAGTATCTACTGATCTTATACAAGCAACCAAACTAGCGTCAGAATAATGATACCGAATTTTCCAGAATGCAACTTGATTATAAAGCGCTAGTGCAATTAGCTGAATGTTGAAAAATCAAACAATTCTTGCATTTGCGTTAGTAATCAATTTAAATATTTAGAACCGAATGAGGACAAAGAAGACGAAACACTGCCACCTCTGAGGATTAACATTGTTGCGGATGCACTCACGGTAATTCTCAGTTGGCTTTTTTGGTTAGACGTGCGCTTTAGTTTTTACGGCGATCATTGGAACAACAGACTGATTCGCCGAAACTTCTGCGCACCGTCTTTTGTGGTATAATTAAAAGGCACAGTTTATTGTTAGTTTAATTTTTTCTAGGACTTGGTGAAATCAGACTTGCGGCAGCATCGCGAATGGACAATTGGTTCCAAAAACCTAAGGTGGACTCAAACTTTAATTAGAAATTTCTTTTTTTTTCAGGTTTAAAAACATGCTTTGGAGCTTCTATTCTTCCTCGGTGTCAACATTGAGGATAATTTTAATTGACTCGATTTTAGAAATGTGGTTTTACTGGCCACACTTGCAAAGAAGATCAAAGAAAATGAAAATTCGTTGATGAAAGAACAACAGCATGTGATTCTTGAGATCGAAAAGGTCGGATTATTTTTGAAGTTCCCCACAAGTTGAGGCTATTCAGCTATCCAAAAGGGATACTCATTAAATGCTTCTAATTCATTTGTTTAGGCCGATTCTCACAATGCAAACCTTTCACTGGAAGAAAGCGAACTGAACAAAATCTGCTTTGTCAATCCGATGAGGTTTGATCGATCATTAAGCAAGTACATATCCAAATTTAGTGATATATATCGTGCTCCACCGGCTGAACTCATCGCTTCTATCGGAGCATTTTGCAAAGCGCACAAGGTTTGATACGCTGTTGACAAAATGGGATTAATTTATGATTAGATTGGCGCTCGTCTATGCGAAACTCGTTCTCCGGACCTTCTGCACGAATTCATCGAACTTGTCGGCACTGGTGAAGCCGTTATGCAATTACGGTATAGTTTTTCTGATATAGCAATAAAACAGACAACTTGTACAAGCACATCAGTGCAGAGAATTGCCACTCTAATACTAAATTATGAAATAGATATTTTTTAGAATAATAACAGTTATTAAATACCTGTTTTTAGTCATTCATCAATCGAGATTGTAAATACTTCCTAAATTTAGAAACTCGAATCAATTGGTGATGACGATGACCCTGTCGAGTTTCTTCAAATCGTCCCTACTTTGAGAAATTTCGGAACGGAGCGTTATTCATTCATCATCTCATTGGCCGGGCAAGTGAAAAAGGCAATTCTTATGAAAAAACGTGGAGAAGTTGGCCTTACCAGCGACAATCTTTGTGTAGTACAGTTTAAGAAAGCAAAGGTTGGTGTTGGCAATATTATCAAGGTCATTTCAGCGATCCATTTATTTAGATTCATCTCGATTATGATGTGATTGTTTCTCAAATTCCACTCCTCTGCTCATCGTTGCATTCAGAAAAGGGAGTTGCACGAAAAGAATTACTCGATTTATGGTTCCCTGAGGTATGATTTTTGTAAGGATTAAAAATATTTTTGACAAACAATTTCATGTAGGGGACCACGTGGATTTTCTTGGAAGATTCGCTATGGAGTCCGGGTAAAATAAAATGATTTTACTTTTGAACACCTTTTTCGTACATTTTCTCCCAATGGCTATCAGTTAAAAGAGTTTTTAACAATTTCTAAATCTTTTTTATTTATCTAGGGACCCTTACTGGCTTGAATTTCTTAAAAACGAATCCACCAATTGAAGAACACTTTTTTTCTATCATTTGCAAGTTCACTCCAAGAAATTATTTGTAAAAAATGAGTTCAGCTTTCCCTTAAAATTTTAGAGATTTTTGAAAAATGATTATTTTCCAGCTTAAATTCAGCTCACTTTTTACACGAGAAAAACGATTCCTTGTAAAGTAAAGCTAGCATAAATGAGCAATACGCTCTATAATCTCTATTTTTGGCCAAAAATTTTTTACAGAGAAGCTGTATTTCAAAAAATAATTTTTTCGTGTCATCTTCTTGGCACTGAGTGTTTGCTAAAATAGGTGATTCTGAAAAGTTAAAGCATTAGATAAAATTTGCCTTAATCACAAATTTTCCCTATTTTAAGTACTTGATTTTTGGTTTTGAATGGGACCCATTGCCTATTCATTAACCCATTAAAAACTTTTCTAAAGGCTGGTCACTCAAAAAGTGACCAAGTCACTTCAGCTGAAGAAATCTCTTTTTTTTACCTGAAGCCCACTTTGATTTCTTGTCAAAAACTTTTTGAAATATAGTCAAGTTATCAAAAAATCCGGGAAGAATTCAGGGCTTCGTTTTTGAGAAATCACTGTGCTGTTCGTTCCTAGGAGTAAACGGATAGGGACTGGAATTTGTTAAGCAAGCTTTTAATGTCTGAGATAAGGCGGTGAAAGGATTGCTAAAGAAAATGTGGAACCTGAGTATTTAGAAAATTTAGATGAGTTTAAGACTCAGAATGGAAGTTTTGATGAAAAGAAAAGTTAATTCAAGTTGATCTGAAAGTCTTAAATGGAAGAAATAGACATTTTCTTTCAAGAAAATCTGATCGTGGAATTGTGGGATTATCAGTAAATTTGTTGACCCATCAAAAATTGCTTTCGTCAAATTTCTGATCCTGATTTTGTTCACATTTCTCACCACCAAAGTAGTCGATTTTTACCTGGCCTTTTCTGATTTCTCTCCTTTTCAAAGTATTCAATTGCACTTTTTGGGGACAGAATTTCTTTGCGAAGTTCTCGAAATGGAGGAGCAAATTTCGGCTTTGTCAATGAAAATCGATCAATGCAAAAATTGCAAAGGAAGTGTTCGTCATTTGATCTTCAACCCTGTTGGACGCAGGTAATGTTTAGTCTTTTATTTTACCAAAAATGTATACGTAAAGTTTCAAAACCATCAAAAAGTAGAGTCCATCAACATTTCAGGGGTTTGTACAGCGAAATAGGATTGTTCTATGGCCAATATAATGTACCAGTGCCAAGAGCACGAATGTCAACTACACCACCAACGGCATCACCGGTCAATGTACCACCTAACGTGCCAGTTCCAATAACAATGCCACAGACTGTAAAAACAATGTTGATGCCCTTTCCATTATTGGGGCAACCTGGGCAACCCACATCGTTTCCCGGAGAAGCTGCGGAAAGACGCAATCAATCGAAACCCCGGCCTCATTCCCGTGCTCGCAAACATTCCTTCAACTCACGCTTTCTTATATTTCCCAGCAATGTCTATCCTGTTACTCAATGAAAAGTCTTTTTTTTCTTTTAAAAAGCTTAATATCTCGTATTTTACTGATTTTCAACCTCTTCATCCATTTTTTTAGTTGTTTTAGCTGTAAAGGGTTGTCCCGGATTACGAAGACTAGGGATATCTTTGATATTGCATATTTTTGCTTACATCCTATATATTGTTTTTGTCTTTTTTGTTGATTTTATTTATTTAACTATTTACTTACTATTTTTTCTCAAAAAAATGTCTCTCTTTAGAATGGCCAAGCAGTCAGTGCACCGAGATGCGATCATCGACCCATACAAGCGTGCCGTTTCGACTTTCAAATCGCTCAATTGTGCACTCTGTTCGACGCCGTGTAAGTTTTAGTTTGAATTCAAAAAAGCGCATTATTTTTTTCATTAACTTATTGTAACAATAGAATTGTATTTCAGACTCTAAAACGGCGAATGAAGTAAATACACCGACACAAACTTGGTGTTATGATATTCAAACAGTGTGCATGAAATGTCATGAAGAACAAGGAGCAATAGCCCCAGTGATTCGAGCACATCAATGCAAAGATCACAATTGTTTCCTTATCATGGCGCATCCTTCATATTGCTTGATGGGTGAGTAAACTTGAAAGTAATCAAAGAAAATTTGGAAATAATTTGGAAATAATAGAAGCGTGCCGGAGACTGGTCGGATTGGGATTTGACCGTCTGAAAAATGAGCTGCTAAACTCTAATCAAAATCAATTCTTTTGTTACAGAAATGTAGGCAAGATTTCAGGCTTCAATTCACTATATAACACTTAGAATTTTTGAAATGATTTCGGTGCTTGGGATGCAATCTGCTGAAATGCCGTAATTTTGGCGCACCCTGTAGTATCTCTTTGAAAAACGAACACAATCAAATTGCTTTAGAATTACTCTCAAGTGGGTGCTTTACATTGGATCAAAATTTGATGGGATACGTTCAAACAAAATCAATCACAATTCCTGAGTGTCCGGTTTGTAATGAAGAATGTGGGTGATTTCATTGTACACTTAGAAAATGATGAAACATTAGATTCAATCGAAAACTCACAAAGAGAACCATTCATCCTCCAATGTGGCCACGGGATATGTAATGGGTGTTTTGCTCAAATGTCAAAACGAAAAACCATATCTTTCTTCAACTTCAAATATGTTCTCGAATGTCCACAATGCACACAAAACTGGACTTATGCTCAAGAATCATGGGAGAATCCATTGAAAAGTTGGTTGCTTTTCTATCATCCTTGAATCGTTAAAATCATTCAGTGTTGTTGCGAGAACTGTCGGAGAAACGACAAATTGAATTGAAAAGAACATGTGGTGATTGCAAAAAAGAGGTTTTCCTCTAGATTTAACGTTGTCAAAATCTATTTAGGCGCCTTTGCTTGAAATGTTTCAATGTAACGATTGTGGAGAAGTAATGGTGCGTTGAGAGGAGATCTTTGAAAATAAAAGTTTATTTTTGGATAATTGTGTGCATATTTCAGTTAACGTTTTCAGGGATATTAGAGAATTTCCAAAACTACACTCATGATGTGTAAAACGAAAGTATAACTCAAAATTTAGCTTTGCTCTTTATGTGGAATGAAAAAGCATCGGTCAGCATCAAATTGTCGATTTGGAAGTTGGAGAGGTAGAAAGAAAAGAACGAATCTACAAATAGCGAGAAGAACATTCCATTTTCAGGTGAAGAAATTGATGAATGCAACTTGTGAAGTGATCACCCCGCAAATTGAAGCTTATGATGTCTGTTTTCCCGAACTTCAAGCGGATTTGATTAAAAACATCCACAATTTTCAAGCGGTAAATTTTTCAAATTTTGTGATAAATTCCAGAGATTCTTCAGAAAGCTCTCGAAAAAGCCGGCAAAATTGAGGGGTTAAATTATGATCCAGCAGAGTACGAAAAGGCGGATTGTTTGTAAGTTTAAAGAATTTTGAAAAAGAAAAAACAACTTTCAGAGCTATTGCTGGGAAATTTGAGGGGATTTGTGAGAAATATTTGGGCGATTTGCGATCATGCAACACTGGGATTGAGGTTTAATTTCAAAATAGGGCATTTATTATTCTCAAAGTTTAGAAGCTGCTCAGCAAATTCGATGAGACAAAAGAAACTTCATAAGATCTCTTGGAGTTACGGATTTTAGCTTCTTTATGTAACTTGTTGTTAATCGAGCTGATTTTAACCATTCTATTTGATTTGAAAAATTGATTGAACTGACTCTTTTATTTTGTTTGCTTTCTCATTCATCTGAATTATTTTTTATTATAATTATTATAAATGTGAAAAACATGATTGTTTCAATGTGATAACACGACCATCGGATTGTTTAATGGGCGAGTGAAATGAACTACAGGATGATTAGAAATACGCTTAAAATACGGATTAAGTTGAAGTATTCTGAATTAAAATACCTAAATTTGTGGTTATCTATAACAAAGATCAACAGAAGCAGCAAAAGCAAATTCTTGGTACAAGGATCTTTTTTTACGAGTTGATCGACAACCTCAACCTTGTCCGAACCCGGAGCAAAAACAGCTCTGCTGTTGAAACAAGACCCCAACCCAGTGACACAAAAAATTATAAGAATCCCACGATGTTTATAGCTAATACTACGCAAATCCCAATTGTTACATTCAGATGAGATGCTTCCATTCATCGAGGGATTGAGCATTGAAACGATTGATGCAGTGTATGAATTGGCTAGATATAAATCACGAAGTGTAACAAAGTAAGGAATTTCCTGAAGAATAAACAATTTCTCCATTGTTTAGTAGGGGAGAGAGGGTGTAACTTAGCGACTCAGCGCTAGCTTTTCCTCCCGAGGTTTTTTGAGCATGGAATTTGCTTTTTATAAATTCCGATTCAAAATTTTTGAAAATTTCTTTAGTATTATATTATAATAATTTATATTTACTTAGGCTTCGTTCCAAAGAACGCGTTAAACACAGTGCTAGATCAACTAGAAACCAGAGTCGACCCCTTCAACTGGCGCAACACTACATCGGAGCACACCTAAAATATGATTAATGAATTTTGCCATTTATTCAAAGTCAAAACAAACAACATCTGTAATAAAAAGAAGAGAATGTACCCGTTCATCACAAAAAAATGTACACATTCAATTAGTCCTTGCTCCTCTGACAGCGGCCTGAATCTGTTCGACGAAGTAGCGATCCGCGATTCCATCACAGAGTCTAAAAGATGTAAATGAATTGAAATTACCCGGATTTTTTGGTGGTTGCCAGAAATGAGAATTGCAAATCTAATTGTAACAAAACTAACTTCAAAATCGTCTCGGGATGCTCACTGAGAAGAGCTTGTGCGCGTGTTTGGTGCGAATCCAAGTATCGTAAGCATGTCCTCAAAATCGTCTCATTGATCGTTTGGCGTTTCTCCAAAAGATGACGCTAAATAACAATGAGTGTGAAAAATTGACAAAAGTCTTACCTCAGCAAACGAAATCAGGACTGAAATCAAAGCGTCGATGTGTTCCAGTGTTCCTTGTTCGGCGACGGGTATCAATTGATAAAGAACACGAATCGAGAAGGCAACCAGTGACCTAAATGAAACTTTAGTAATTTCCACAAGGTTTCACGCCGAAATGTAGCTGAAACCAACATTCGCTCTTTGACATTTCGAGAATTCATCGACACCAATTGTGCAAGCAATCTTGATAGCATTCCGATTTGTCTAAAGATAAGTCTTAAATTGATATTGATAGATAAATACTACCTTTCAATGATTTTTGGATAAACTCTCAACAATGTTTCGAGTTGATCCACCATTTTCTTCGCATTCTCCGGATTTGCTGCCTAAAATATCAAGATTCTTGAAAGATATCAGAAATTTTACGCTAAATGCCCCGGTGAGCAGTTGGGTTGCTTTATTGTCCGACTCATCGGCACGCCAATTCACAAAGGATAGCAACGCCAAGCCGTTGATCATATCAACTTGCAAGCCTGAAAAAAACAATCGAAACACTGAGAACCCAACACTTACAAGGATATCTTTCGTTTACATTTGAGATCAGTCGTTTAATTGGCTCTTGTTTAACCAAGGCGAGTCCTAGGCCTGCCTCTCGTATGCAAGTTTCGATGATTGGACGGAGAACTCGTGAACCGACAGATGTTTCCTAAAATCAGCATCTTTAGTGAAAAACAGTCAGGCTTGTTCAAGAAAAATCTTCTACGTCTTATAAGGTTGTGATCGGAGAATTCGACATCCGAGGATTCCTCATGCCTTTTAAGGTACCTACCACAGCAACAACAATTGAGACGGCCAATTCGTCAAACTTCGTGTCGACCAACACAGCAGCACACAAGTATTGAGCAAGCACATTTAACTAAATTCAAATCTTTAACATTTTAAAAATTGTAATTAAACCTGTGCATCGTTAGCCTTCTTGAAGGCTAAACCATTTCCACTGTTCGCACAAAATGATAGAAATGACAGCACAGATGAGGGATTCAATCTGAAATTTAGAGATTTTTTAGAGCCCACGCAAAGCATTTACTTGGAATTGAAACTTGAGAGAAGAAAGGCGAGAACCGATACCATCGTTTCGGGGAGACAATGTTGCGGTAATTGGGAGCAAAGCCAGACAACTGTTTGACTAAAACTAGATGATAACAAAGATTGTTAAGTCTTTTTTTACTTCTTGGATAGAAACAACGCCTCTGCTTGTTCCATCATATGCTTTCCACCATCGACAATCTCGGGGCGGAATTGAAGAAAGTAAGCAACAAGGCTAAAATTTAACGGCTAATCAATTTTTTTAATAACATACCGTGAACGTTCGGCATTGTTGATATCGTCTTTTTCCTGCAGTTGTTTAAGGACATCGTCAGCGTTATTCAATTGAACCTAAACAGTTTTTTTAAAAAGAACCACATTTAAACGTTACCTTCTGCGTTTTCTTTGCTGTTGCTATTGTCGATGCAAAATTCTGCAAAATCCCCGCAACAACCGGTGGTGGTTGAGCGTCTTTCAAAACCTAACTTAAATATTAAACAGTTCTTTTCCAATCACAAACCTTTCAACTACCTTCAACGAGTTCCATGCATGCCAAAGACTCCATTTACACGAATGTAATGATTGAAGCATTTGTTCACTCAAAATATCCGAAAAGATCAACGATTTTGAGCTTTTTAAGACATTTCCCTGAGTCCAGTAGGAATATTGGAGAATGGGAAAAACAAAACAAATTTGAATTTTGAACTTAAAGAAGACTAGAAAATAACTCAGTTTTTTGATCAGAGAATTGCTAAACATTGCCAGCGCAAAAGAAAGGGAAAAAAGCAAATAAATCACAGTTCACATAGATAGATATTCACTCAATATTTCCCCAAAGCTAGATCTGTTTCACAACTCAGCACTATGTATATTTTCTTGAAATCAATTTCAATTTCGGAACGAATCGGCCACCAAAAAGAATTGACGCTGAAATGAATTCAAAATGTCGATACCATACTTTATTTTCTTTCTTCATCCATTTTTCTTGCGTTTCCAAATTGTTAACCACCCCAAAAAAGGGTTTAAGAAATGAATATATTAAAAAAATGTGTAAAGTCAAGTTAAATGTATAAACTAAGATGAATTCAAGTAAAAAAGTAAAAAAATAGGGGGCGGGATAAAAGCCATCTTTTATTTGCGCACCCGACCGAAAAGCGCCAAAAGACAAAAATGACATCAAATACGTTTTTTAGTTCTTAAATAACATTAACTAGCGGTGAGATCACATAGTTTTAAATTGGTAATATTTTCTCAAAGCTAGGATTTTTTCACAACTCAGTGTATATCATTTTTTAAAATCATTTTCTGAAACTACTACTTCTTGAATTACGTTAGAGCCGACCAAAAGTTCAACAATTTATTACGTGAAAAAAGATACTTTAGTTTCGTGGCGGCTGTCCAGGACGCGGCTGTTGTACTTGTTGTTGTCCAGGACGTGGCTGTTGTACTTGTTGTTGTCCAGGACGTGGCTGTTGTACTTGTTGTTGTTGTCCAAATCGTGGTGGCGGCCGGCGATCGCGACGAGCTTCTCGAGAACGATTCCTCACCACTTTGCTGTGGATTGCACACGCGACACAGTAGAGAAGTTTGCTGTAGAGCTTCGGGAGTGCGTATACTGAAAGGAAACAGATTAAAAGTGCTTAAAACAAACTAAGTAGTTGTACATCAATGCGTCTACACTGGTCTGCGCCTTTAAAGCAATTTGTCAATTTAGGTTCTCCACGAGATTTCAATTCACTAAATTCTCCAACTATAAAAATGGAAACTCGATTTAGAATCCAAGTATTGTACTAAGTGTTAAAATTTCTTGTTTCTTGCATAATTTAAGCTCAGGATCCGAACTCCAAAAGTTTGCAAGATCCCAAGATTTTCCGCACGATTCGAAACTAAAATCGTCCACAAAAGGTCACAGACACAGAGCCTTGTTTTACCATTTTATCTGAGCGGGTCTAACGGGGAACGAGTATTGCCAAAAAGATAACGACACGACAGCTTTTTAACGCTTTGACCGGATAATTGACAGCTTACTTTAAGCATTTCAGCAAAAGCATCAAAATTGCTACTCCAGACCATATAAAAACGAACAAACTTACGTTCGTAAACTGAAGCTTCTGAAAGATCCCTGATGGCGGCAGCTTCAACGATATTGCGCACGACATTCTTACGAATTGCTTTGTCCTTGGGGCAGCACCGTCCACAGTTCGTACATCGGACGAATTGCACGTGTCCTCGGCCCTTTTTATTGCGCCCATGGTTGCGTCGTTTCACCGTCATTTTGCCCTGAAAAAGAAACAGATTATGATGCCAGATAAAAGGATAAATAAAATTAAAGCCGATAAAAACATTTGAGTAAAGGTTTAAAGCTATATTCTATTTTTTGCTACTAAAGTGAGTAAATTTCTCGGATCACAGAAAGAAAACTGGCGAAAAACCGAATTAGACAACTTGTTCCGACTGATAATCTACGTTACAACTTTTGAGGTTCAGAAAATAACACAAAACCCGAACAAATCCCCTAGCGCAACACGAACGATCGAAAAGGATTAATTTTCGCCGAGAATCCTTTAATTTATACTTGCATTTCGCCGCTAGACGAGATTTAAGACAGATGAGGTTACGGTAATTGGTCAACACTAAGAAAATGGAAAGAATTTTTAGGGAATTCTTTTTCTTTTTTATTTTGTAACTTTTTTTTGGGTTCATTTTCTTCTCAAGGAAAATAAAAACGTGTTTTGCCCATTTAGATTGTCTTTTAAATGTTATTAGACTTAAAATTGACCTAAAATTGAGGTTTTTCATTTCCAGAAAATCCTCAACGCTTCACCAACATAATAATCCGATTTTGAATTAAACCGTCCTGGCTTTCGAAATTCGGTCATTTTCGTCATTCTTTCCTCTATTTGCTTAGCTTTTGACCGATCTTGCCATATATTTCGCTCAAATATCGACTCATTCTCAAATCCAAAACTTTTCTCCCATTTAATACCTTTAAAATCTCTAATGCTATCCAGGATTTCCATTCTTGGAGCAATTTTCATTTTATTCATCGAAATTTCAGTGTTTAAGATGGCCGACTCGGAAGAAATGAAAACTGGACAGCCGTCATTGAAAGAAGAAGAAAAGCCGAAGAATTGGGATGGTTGGTGGAAAAGTCGAAGGATTGATAAGCTTTAAAAGATTAGATTCTTATTTAAAAGTTAACAAAATATCGTTATTGCTCGGGAGATTCGTTTACGGGAAAGCTTTTCCTTGTAGATTTGAGCATTCAGCTGAATAACATATTCCAGAAGCTCGTCAAGCTCCATTCTCCGGTCCTTGTGCAATCAGCAATCAAGCACCGATGAAACCCGAAGAAATGGCTGAGTATGAGAAGAAAAGGAGGGAACAGAAAGAGCAAAATAAGTGAAATGAGTGGATAAACGTTTGGTTGCATCAATAAAACGGATCTTTATAAGCCTTTACAAGCCTTTACAAACCTTTACAAGCCTTTACAAGTCCCTACAAGCCTTTACAAGCCTTTTCTCAACTACAGACAAGCCAATTCATCTCCATTTAAAGTACAACTATATTTGCACACTTTTTTAGATTTTTTGCTCTTTGATCAATCAGTCAGCTTTTGAAATCACTTGAGCGATCCAGGTGCTAAACTGCCTCATAAATCGTTTCCTTGAATGCCTTGTGGGCAAACTTGTCACCCTTTTAAACTCACATCACCAGTGACGACTTGGGTAACTGAAGCAACCAAAAACAATCAATTTCAACATTGATTTTTTGATTTCAAAAGCTCGAATGCCATCCAGGATTCACATATTTCAAAGAATTTTAACTTTTGAGCAAGAAAAAAAAGCAAGATTTCAGCTCGATCTCAAACCGAGCCAGAAATCAGTGTTAAATTCCAAATCTACTAATCATTTTAGACTTAAATAATTAAGAAGAAGTAAATTGGCTTAAAATAGGCATCAAATGATTCAAATAAATGACTTCAGGCTATTCTTCTCATCCTTTTCTCATCCCATTGGCCATTCCGGGGGCATTCATCTTAAAAACGCCCAAAAGACAGATGCAAGAGGATATAAAAGGAATTGTTTTAGCTGAATATCATTTCTGAATCAAGATGAGGCTTTGGCTTTTATTCTTTTTGATTGGAGCGATTGGATGTGCCACGAAAGCTACGAAAGCTACGATGAAGCCGCTCAATAAGAACATCAACTTCAAGGTGTGTTTCGTTGACAACTAGGGATTACGGTAATTTATTAGAATAGAATAGACATTGATGGGATTACGGTAGGGGTAATGAATTGGATAACTAACAGTCTAAAGTTGTCAGAATACAGCCCTCAGTATTTGGGATAGTATGAAAATCGTAATAAAACTATTTCTAGGTAACAAAACCTGTGACAACCACAACTACAACAACTCCAACAACCACAACAACCGAAGAAGAGACGACAACAACCGAAGAGATCATCACAACGGTGGAAGAAGAAGAAAATGAGACAACGGAAAGTACAGAAGAAGTGACTGAAGAGGTCAAGACGGTGAGCAAGCCTAAACATTCAATCTTTATTTACAATACAGTACATTAGCATTGTGTAGACTTTACCATGGTTGACCTACAGTAACTTTTGCAGACAACTGGCTTACTGTACTTGTCGGTGACAGTACACTAACCCATTTTACTTTTTCACAATGTTATAGTGATCAGTTTAAGGGCCAATTTTATGTAGTGCGTTCCAGTTTTATTCATAAAAACTAGAAAATCCAAATTCTATAGCTAAATCAAGAATTTTCAGTGTCAATGCCCAACCACTCCAAGCTTGGATTTCAACGCCGATGCGGAGGTCATCAATAAGACTGGAAAGGTGAGAGACTTTGAAAAATAAAGAGGATTAATCAGAAAGCCAGGGATACTGTAAAGGAGATGAAAGCGGTACTGTGAAGTTATAGTAATCTATCCTTGGTTTAAATTAGTCTCAGGATTAGGGTAACCAGGAAAAACGCTTAATTACTGTAATAATTGTAAACTAAATTGTTTGGGATCACGTTATCTGGATGTCACAGTATTAGATTAAAATAATTAAAGTATCATTTTATTTCCTTGAAATTTTGCGGTCTAATTGATGCGCCAGAAGAGTCGCGTTTAGACCCTTTAGCACAAAGTACAGTTAAAAATTTGAGTTCTATGCTTCATTCTGGATGTCACAGTATTAAAATATCATAAAAAAATTCTTATTTTCCTAAAATTCTGCGGTACAAAAATCGATATGCCAGAAGAGTCGCGTTTAGACCCTTTAGCACAAAGTACAGTTAAAAATTTAAGTTTTATGCTTCATTCTGGATGTCACAGTATTAGATTAAAATAATTAAAGTATCATTTTATTTCCCTAAAATTTTGCGGTCTAATTGATACGCTAGGAAGACTCGCGTTTAGGCCCGATATCATAAAGTAGGGTTTAAAAATTTCCATTCTATGCTTCATTCTGGATGTCACAGTATTAGAAAAAAGTGATATGATAAAGCATTGACCCATTTTCAAGATTCGTCAATGCAATTGCACTGAGACGGCCGATTGTATGGATGAGATGGATGAGAATGCGGTGACAACGTGCTTCGATGAATGCCACATGGAATTAGAGGTGTTGGGAGCCAATACACAGGTGGGGGGAAAATCGATATATTACTGTAAACGGTGGCTATAAAGTTTGCTATAACAATTCCCGTTTTCAGGACTACACTCAATGCTTCGGCGAGAAGACGCTCAATGGTTTCACATCGGCTGAATTGTGTCTACAGGATCGACTCGGAAACGGGTAAAGCTCAAGCTGAGAGTTATTGTAGCGGCCCTTAGCGGTCCTTAGCGGTCCTTAGCGGCCTTTAGCGGCCCTTAGCGGTCCTTAGTGGCCCTTAGTGGTCCTTAACGGCCCTTAGCGGTCCTTAGCGGTCCTTAGCGGCCCTTAGCGGTCCTTATCAGCCCTTAGTGGTCCTTAACGGCCCTTAGCGGCCCTTAAAGGTGACCTCTAACTTTCTCATCTTTCAGTTGCTCTAACAAGACTGAAGAAGTGTTTATTGACCGACCAATCTACAGTAATTACACCGATTTCTCCTACCGCAATGAGTCAAAGCCTAAAGAATTGCACTATAAAGTTCACAAGGTTAGTCTTCGAGCTTATCAAAGCATATCATTTTATTTCTCAAAGCTTATCATTTCATTTTCAAAGCTTACCTTATCATTTTATTTTCTCCAGAAAACCCATGAGACTTTCCACACTTTTCAACGTTTCTACCATTGCTCAAAGCATTGCATCCACAAAAGAGCCTTCAAATGTTTCACGGATAAGGGGTACTTTTTAAATACAATCTTGTAGCCATTTCCCTCATCCATTTTCTAGCTGTGCCATCGAATTGCCCCCAAAGGAGACGTTCATCGATGCGATGCAAGTCTGCGTCAAAGAACACAAACTCGTCAACCTCAACTTGTGGTAGGTTCAAGATGACAGATTTTAAAATTTCTCCGAAAAAAGTTACTCCTGGAGCTCACAGCGCCAAAAGAACACATAAGCTGAATGATTTTTCCGAGTTAAGCCAGAGTGAGATTTCGAGATTCGAGATCTCGCCGTTAAATCTTTGTAGAAAGCTTGGAACTAGAAAATTCAAACTGATAACTCAATCCTGGAGCTCACAACATCAAAATATGCAATGATTTTCACAATTCCTTAATTTTCAGGAACACTTGCCGTTGCCTCATCACGAAACACGGTCTGACTGGATTGGCTGGTCAATGCGCTGTCCTCATCAGCCCGTACTACTTAGCTCGATTGTAAATATTTTTCAAAAATCAAATCATTTTATAAATCTCTCATTTTGTGATCAAATTCCCATTGAAATGAAATAAATTTATTCGAAAAAGCTAAAAAACGTAGTTCGCACGATATAATAAACCAAAATCAATTTTTTCATGAAGTTTCCAAGTTTTTTGCTGATCCTGGAACTCACAGGAACTAACAAATCAAAGAAATGCTGGCCCCCATGGGTATCAGATGGCCTCAAAAACACAGGGAGCCGCAACTGGCGGTGTTCAACTCTCGGCAACGGCAAATCAATTTGTTGATAAGATTGTTCCTTTCTCAAAACGTGGAACAAGCCGGCGAAGGCGCATTGTGAATAGCAGCCGTTATCATCCAGAGAATGAGCCAGAGCTTACACAACTTGCGCTTATTAAAGACACTCCACCAGCCGAGCAGACAGCCCTTGTTGTGCAAGAGTTGAATCAACTGAATCAGTGCCAGAGAATCTTTGACTTTTACGATCCAGTTGCACAATTGAAGTCGAAAGAAATGGCCGCTTTGAATGAGTTGATCGATGAAATCACCAATGTTAGATTTGCCACATCACCATTGTCGAGCAAATCTAACATTGGCTGGCCAATGCGCTGTCCTCATCAGCCCGTACTACTTAGCCAGATTGTAAATTTTTTCCAAAAATCATATTATTTTATAAATCTCTCATTTTGTGATCAAATTCCCATTGAAATTAAATAAATAAATTTATTTATAATCGAAAAAGCTAAAAAACGTAGTTCGCACGATATAATAAACCAAAATCAAATTTTTCACGAAGTTTCCAAGTTTTTTGGTGATCCTGGAACTCACAGGAACTAACAAATCAAAGAAATCATGTTGATCACAAAGTTTAAAAAATTCAGTGCGGAAGCTACTAATTTGGGACAACTTAAATATGAAATAGTTTCATTTTTCATTAAACTTTTTAGTTTTCCGGTTATTCTGGAAAGCACAGAATCTAAATGATCTAGGAAAAGAGAATTATTTAAAAAAAAAAATAAATATTCAATGTATGAATTAATGAAGGACAAGGATGGGAGAATAAAAATGAATAAAAAGTGAAGTGAGTAAAAGAAAGAAAATGAAAAGAAAATGGAAAGGAAAAGGCTTTTGAAAGAGTTGGGATGCGCTTTTCCTTTCCTTTTCCCCTTTTCCCCTTTTCCCGAAAGAGATGAGTCCCCCCCCATTGATCAAGTTTCGTGAGAAGAGACATCGAGTGGAAAAAAAGAGGCAAAGGAAAGGAAAAGGATGTGCAACTTGGTGACCACACTGAAAATTGCGAAAACACATGCGATTTTAGTTTATTTTCACTCTTTGATTAACGAGTTTTTGCTGTTTTTCTTGTCGAATTTTTGACCTATCGTTTTTTTCTTTTACAGAGATTTTAAAATTTAAAAATTTACCCTAATTACTTTATTCTGGATGTCACAGTATTAAAATATCATAAAAAAATTTGTATTTTCTTAAATTTTTGCGGTGCCCAATTGATCTGCCAGAAGAGCCGCGTTTAGGCTTTATAGCACAAAGTACAGTTAAAAATTTGAGTTCTATGCTTCATTCTGGATGTCACAGCATTCAAATATCATTAAAAATTTGTATTTTCTTAAAGTTTTGCGGTGCATAAATCGATATGCCAGAAGAGTCGCGTTTAGTCCCTATAGCACAAAGTACAGTTAAAAATTTCCATTCTATGCTTCATTCTGGATGTCACAGTATTAGATTAAAATAATTAAAGTATCATTTTATTTCCCTAAAACTTTGATAAATCGATGTGCCAGAAGAGTCGCGTTTAGACCCTATAGCACAAAGTACGGTTAAAAATTTGAGTTCTAGGCTTGATTCTGGATGTCACAGTATTAGAAAATCATAAGCTTTGATGTAAAAGTATCGAAAGTTCTGTGGTGCACAAATCGACGTGCCAGAAGGGGTGCGTTTTGGCTCCCAAACACAAAGTATGTTTAGAAATTCGCCTTGGACACTTCATTCTGGATGTCACAACATCAGAAAATCATATAAGCTAATCAAAAAAAATGAAAATAATATTTATGTTTTATACATACAGCCTTTTCTCCTTTTCTCCTCTCATCATTTGATCCATTTTCGGAATTCTTTCTCATGTGCCCGTTTTTCTTTCAGTTCTTCACCAGAAAGACCGATTCAATTTCATTTCTTTTCATTTTTCTTCCATTTCATCCATTTTGAATCATTTTCCCCTCTTTTCACGACTTTGTACTGAAATTTTGAGTAAACACAGCGATTCTATTGCACTAGATGTTGTGTGTTTGCAAATATAATCCCAAAATACACTCTTCTTCCCACGGAAACCCTGTTCTTTCTATTTCGATTCAAAAGCAAACATAACATTACGTTCGCCGAGTAGTTTGTGATTGTCCGCTTGCCAAAATCGATCACTTTCGGAGTTTTTTCGGAGTTTTGGAACGCACAACATCGATTAGTCGATTTGATTTGTCTCTCTTTTGATTTTGTACGATTTTCATTTTCTCCAAAATTTCCTCTCAACTACTTTTCATTTCAACAAAATTTCAATTAAAAAACTCCTTCAATTTTTCATCTCAAATTGCCTCCTTAACCAAGTAAATTCAGAAATAATCCCTTTTCTTTCAAAGAAATAATTAGTTTTGCCATTTTTCTTCAAAAAACCAGCTGCTTTTCATTTTTCTTTTATAAATCAAATTTTTCTTTTTTCTTTTCAATTCAATTCCCCCAGTGCATTCCAGCATTGCGTTTAAATTCAAAAAACTTTTTTATAAATTACCTCAATTCCGAGATATTCAGTCGAACTCGAATCACGCTTATTTCTTCTCATAGTGTTGAGAGATTCAGAGATTCAATGGTCGAAACGTCCATGATGGAACCCATTGAGGCCAAAGAATCGGATATTGACGAGATTTTACACTTTTTAACACAAGACTTTCTCTACAATGAGCCATTGAATCGGTCTCTTCGCCTACCATGGCATGAGGCTAGCTTCTTCATGAGAGGTCTCTAATTACATTGCAAACTGTACTGTGCCATCCAAAATCTCATCATCGACAACTTTTACAGTAAACCCGAATTTCCAGAAATCACACAAGCTTCGGTGTCGAGCGGTCACTCGGCGATAATCCGGAATGACGCTGGAGAGATTATCGCGATCGGGTTGAACTCGGTGCGTTCCAGGATCGAAGAAATTTCCAAGAAATTTTCAGGTTAAATCGGTGAAATCCGTGGAAAATGAGGCGGCTCCGAGTAACGAGAAAACCCCGGGGCAAATGGATTATATAGCTAATTTTTTGTGGCAATTAGATCGAAAGGTGTGTGTCTTAGTGGTTATAATTTGAAAAATGACTATTTAGTTAGCCGAGAATTTACCGAAAGACGTCGATACGGTGATGAAAGTCGAGATTATGAGGTGAAATTCATCGAAATTTGCATTTACAGTGAATGATAGGGGAAAACTTTAGAACTTTAGACATCCTACAGTATTCAGTTATATTCTAGTGTCAGCTCCGCGTGGACTCGTCGTGGGTTAGCGGGAAAATTGATGGATTTCACCATAGAGCGACAGAAACGCTTAAAAATCCCGATTTTCACCGAATGCTCGGCGCTCGCCTCTCAAAAGGTTTCCAAAATCGTTTTTTTTACACTAATGTGCACTCCAGCTCTTTGCCAAATACAATTTCACACTCCTCTTCGAGATCTGCCACGTGAACTATTTGGACCTCAACGGTCGACGGATATTCAACTGTGATGATGGCACGGATCGGGGGCAACTGGTCTTGAAAATGCCGTAAATGATGAAATTGGATGACACAAGAGTGAAAGAGCTTCTATTTGAATAAAATTCTATGCACTGTGTAAAAAGTACATAGTTGGAGTTTAAAATCACCGTAAACCCAGGTGAAAAGTTAAAACCGATAGCAAGACAAGTTTTTCAAGCATTAGACACACTCATGCGCTCCAGGATTTCGAAATTTAAAGTGAAAAGTGTTTACAGAGATAGATATCTCGATATTTCGCAGCTAAGTCAAAATTCCGATATCAAATGAACAAAATAGCGCGTAAATCTTCTAAATCGATTAACTATAAAGAAAGTTATAGCGAGTTGCCGATAGATGTTTAAACGAGGATCGTCTAAATTCAGAAAATCTGATTTCAGATCTAAGGGACGTATGATATACAAATTTATAACAATCAAAAAACAAATTGGAACATTACTGGTTGTCTCTTTGCATCAATTGACGTCTTTATTTCTTTTTTGATTCTTTCGAGGGTATTTTAGATGATGGGAATAGCTGCAGCTAATAGGTTGGACCTTAAGTCTTTTAATCTTTTTATTGAGTGGCTAACGCTCAAAATCAAGACTGGTGATGCGTTTTACGAGTGACTATCGGAGCCTGCTATAGGCGAACCGAAAATGTCTCAATTGCCAAGAACCAATGCGTCTTAGTAAACAAGCCCAAGGAATCAAGCGCAAATTCGGGTGCACAAGAGAAATTGTCGAGTTCCCGGTGTTAGGTTATCTTAAGCTTAGGTCTATCTGTTTTTTAAGCTCTCTAGAAATGGCAGCATAACTTTGAAAAATTGTTGTATGTTTTTTGGGAAAAGGTCACTAAGAAATATTAGTTACCGTAAATACTGTAATAGTACCCCACTCCCTCGTCCAGTCGGGTAGTCGCAAAAGTTTTTTAGTATTTCATTTTTTTCAAAGCACCCGTACTTTCAAAAAATGCGTCTTTGGTATCAAAAAATAGCCCTGAATTTCAGCTATTTTTTGATACCTAAGCGCACATTGTAGCATAAACCAGTGTCGAGAAAAACGCGTCCAAAGCTAGACTACGCACCGTCATTATGGGGGTGGGGTACTATTACAGTATTTACGGGATATCAAAAAATTCTAAAAACAAAAAAAAATACGTCGCAAATAAGTGCTGAAAATATCAGCAATCGATTCAGCGTAGTCGAAAACCTTAGAAAAACTATTTTGGACATTTACTGAAGGCATTAAAAAGAAAAAAACAACATCGATGGAGCATTTCAAAATTTTGAATGAGCGAAAAAATGAATTTCTGCTAGAGAGCCACGTTTGGAGGAATGTCTCGGAAACTGTCTGGAAATTAAATTTCCATTTATCAATAATCCTATTTAAGGAAAGATGGCTGAGCATCTGAAAGATTGCGTTTTATCTTTTGCGCCCCATCCACCGTACCCTAAAACTGTCTCGATTCAAATTCAACTCACCCGGCAAGCGTAAAATGAAGGAAAAGCTGTATGTTTTGAGCTTAAAGTTACAAAATGCGCTCTTGTATAGAGGGAAAATTCAATATTTTCAATATTTTCTCATGTTTTTACGATATTAGCGAACAACTTTAGCTAAATAACTCTTGGAAAGATAAGAAAATAGCAAGAATGTCAATCACTCGCTTAAAAGTTTACGTATTTCATTTGTTTTCTTTGTTTTCTTTGTTTTTTGGTCTCTTTTTACTTAAATTTATGCAATTCTTTTCATTTTAGGTGCCAAAGAATCGAATCTGTGAAGAAATCGGTGATTTGACAGAGATTTTCGACTAAAAAATGGCCCCGCCTAAAGGAACCACTCCAAAAACGGTAAATTTTTGATGAAATTTAGTAAAAATAAGAAAATTTTGATGTATGAGGGGTTCTAAAGTCTTTGCTCTATAGAAAGTTGAAAGAAAGAAAGAAAGAAAGCTCTTTGCTCTATAGAAAGTTTCGTTAGGGAGAAGTAGAATAAGTTTAAACGGCTTAGTTTTATGATAGTTTCCAGATTTAAGCTAAACTAAACTTTTTGCGCTTTAGAAAGTTGCAAAGAAGCATTTTTTCACTGATTAATCTTTGTGAAACCTTGTCTATCATTTTAATCCTTTAATTTTAGCCAAAATTGACACCACGACGCACGATGACACCGAAAAGTTCGGCGAAGAAACGGAAAGAAGTCGAGCAAAAACCAAAGAAGTAAAGTTTTGAGAAAAGATTGCGAAACAAGATCCTTTTGTGGATGTGGGAAAGCGTGCCCACTAGGCTATTTTAAGCCTAATCATTTATGTTAGCAATGATTGTAAAAACTGATGTTACTCCTTAACAAATTAGCAACGGCATTGAGTAAGACCAACGATTACTCGTGCTTTAATGAAAATCATGTGAAAGATTCATCATTTTTTATGTTTAATCTTTTAAATTTAGAGAAATCGCTCTGTTCTCATCGGAAGAAGATGATAAATCAGCGGATGATGACATTAAAGAAGCAGATAAAAGCTTTGCGGTGGGGTTAAGGGGTATTACATTTGGATGAGGAAGTCTAAGATTGATTTGATCCCAACAGGATCAATCAGTAGCGATAGTTTTGTTGGAATATTGTAATATTTTATTGTTTAGCCACCATCACCGCATTCGTCACGAGGACGTCGTTCAAGTGGAAGCTCTGGAAAGGGACGACTCGTCGATTTGTCAATGTAAGTATTTTGTTCATGCATAGATTAGAGCTTATTATCAAGTACTACAGCAAATCAATGTATTTTTGATACAGGTATGGTGAGGATGAGCTTCAGCGTGATCGTGATGAGGTTTTCGCTTTGCACACTTCTTGCGACAGGTAATGAACTTGAAACTATTACAAAATCTTCTCCTTTAGTGGAAAAAGCGTGAAAGATAGCAAGTTGAAGGAGTTGCCAAAAGAGAGTCAAAAGGAGAATCAACTTGACAAGGTAAAAGTCCAAGAAATTCTTTAAATCTTTTATTTTAGAGTGTAATTGAAGCGGAGATCTCACAGATCTCGAAGGATTTGGACGAATTTGAGGATTTCGAGTTGACGATCGAATACAAGAAAGTGGAACGAGTGAAAGACAAAAATGAGAAGAAATCTGCTAAAGATAACTGTAAGCAGGGCAAGTTTTATGACGATGACTTCATTTTAGACTTGGATAACAAAGATGAGAACCTTTTTGATGTTGAAAGCGAATCAAAGGATGATCGGGGTGTAGGTTTTGCGATTTTAAACGGAAATACGCTAATTGTTCCATTTTTAGACTGTTCACGACTATTTCACCCTAGTCTAAGATGTGTTAATCTTATAGATTTAATCAATTGCCGTACTGTTATCCGTTAAAATCTTTAGGACGCGTCGTCGTTGGATGTGAATTTCTCGAGGACCACAAATCGCACAGGAGTTTCAACACCAAAATCGGCCAAAACGTCATCGGAGTTCGACTCGATCTACTCGCCATCCGCGCCATTATCGGCGATTGGAAACTCGACTTTTGGGTTTGTGATTAGTTTAAAGTCAAATATTCTCTATAGTCACAGTGATTGGAGCGACATCAGCGTGCTCGATTCGTCGAAATCGGCCTCGAATCGTCGTGGATCGAAAGTTGAGGTGAATTGTTTGATTCTGATCCATTTTTAGACTCCAACTCGTTGAAACGGTTCTAGAATGCGAATTTTAAGATGACTAAGCTTTTTTTTATTGCAGGATACTATCTAAAATTTATTTTTAGACTCCGCGAAGCTCCTTGAAGCGATCTCTTCCATTGTCAACAAGCACTCCTATCTCCGCGCTTCGTCCACCAAAGCAACGACGCAAGTGATGGGTGACTTTTGCGAGAATTATCCTGATATCCCGAAAATTTCAATGTTTATTCATTTCCTCCATTTTTCAATCTTGTTCCTGGTGCAAATCTTTCGTGATCTTTTGTATGCAAAATTGATGTAAAATTTACATTGTTCCTGCACATGATAATCTTTTATTGCAATTTTCTATTACGTTTTTCTCTTTTTTGATTTGTTCACACATTTCAATAAATGTTTACCGTTTAGAGACAATAAAGATCTTGATTTTCTGAAAAAGGGAATTTTTGAGGTTTCATTTGGTTTTGATCGGATTTGAAAACAATCGACAATTGGGGTACGGTAGGTTCTCCGCACGGAGCACATTTTAGAAAGCATACCTTACCGTTTCTGTGACTCAAACAATAAGTAGGGCGATTTGCCAGCTCTCTTTTTCTTTCGAAAATTCCCTTTCCCTCTTCATTGACTTGTTTCCCTCATTTTCCTGCCAGCTGCTCTCTTTCCTCACCCAAAATCGACTTCACAGTTTTCTAATTTAATCATATGGGACATGATGTTGATTCTGTGCCCTCCAGAATGATGCCTCGTTTTTGTAAATTACGAAAATATTGCATTTTAGCGAAAATCTGGATCAATCATTCTTTTCGATACCCTGAGGAGGGAAATTTTGAACAAATAAGTTCTCAACAGAAATTTTGGCACGCGTGCACTCCAGCTTGAAACTTTCGTTTGCCAGAATTTACATTTTTGGCCTCTTCGTGTGAATCATGAGCTTATTTACAGTCGCCCCGGCGATTCGTGGCAGTAGTTTTCCCCAATCCACTCATTCTTTTCGATTTCATTCCATCTGGAGCGCACACAATGTGCCCCATCTGGTGGCGCGGGGTGAAAGTGAGACGACCAGCTGCTCCCATCCCATCTCCACCGGATGCCTTCACTGTTTCCACTCCCAAAAATCTTTCCTATTGCTTTTCTTTTTGTTTCAATCGTTTATATGGACATCACCAGGCTTTTTTTGCACATTCACTTGTTTATTCGGCACTGTTTTTGAAAAATTTATTTTTTCGGTGATGTTCTTTAGTTGGCGTACCAAAGTTCTTTCGCCACACTTTTTAAAGAAGCAGCATGTTTAGATTTTCACGATTTCACTCTTGTGCATTCCATATTGACCAAATATTTCATCTTTTTGTCTAAAGCTTTAACAAATTTCGAAAAATCGAGCCTGTTCAGTTACCCAAATATGTTCAAAATTTTTCTAGATTCTATATTCTATATTATGAACTAAATTTCGGCTTTTGTGACATCCATAGTTTCGAATTTTTTTTCGAAAAATAGCTTTTTACAATTCCAGAAGCGAGAATGTCGCTTGAAGTCGATGAGTCGACTCCAAGCACTTCTTCTCCATCACCGACAAAAGCCGAGGAATTTCCGTGGTTCGTTTGACTCAAAAGTTCACCAAAAAACAAAATTTCGCTCTTGTTTTATCTTATCAACGATCTCATTTCAGCTTCTCTTTCCATTCGAATGAGACGATGGGAAAATTGGGGAATTTTGAGATCACCGAATCGTTGCTTTCACAGCTATTCACTGCTGATTTGTTGCAGAAAATTTAGTGAGTTCTATTTTAATTCTTTTAAAGCTTTAAGGCTTTTTGAAAGCAATTCACACTTTCTGCCAAAACCACACTTTCCCTCCCCAATTTCCCCTCTAATTCCAGCGCCGAACAAGTGCACACCCTCGCCACAGCCCTCATCAACTTCACTCAAGGCACGCAAATGGTCGATTCTGGTAAATTAAAGGATCTAGAAGCCACATCAAATCCCATCGAAATCGAGGAAAAACAAAAACCGAAAAATATGGAAATAACGAGCTCAAGCAAATATTCTACCAATCAAAATAGGTAGAAAGTTCTTTTCGATAAAATCTTCCTATCTGGAATGCACTAGAATCATGGCCAACGAGCGCGAGCGTCTTCGAGTCCAATCAATCGGGAAAATGTTGACCGAGCTGAGAGAATGCCTTCCGTGTGCGAGTCCTCGTCTCTCCAAAGTTGGTTTTGAAAACGGCAATTGTAGTTATGGAAGGCACACGAAATTCTGGATTTGTTGAAAATGATCGTTTTTAACATTTTCAGATCTCGGTGCTCCGCCTCGCTATTCATTACATTGCCTATCTGGCGGCGCTCGTTGATGAATCAGAGGAAGCCGAGTGAGTTGAGAACTATCAAAAAAGCAAATAGAATAAGAATAGATCCACTTGTCAATCTAAATCCAGATCAAATAGAGTCCGACCTTGTTTACCGGTTCTCTTTCAACTAAATTCTTTAAATCTCAGCAAAATGACCATTCTGGAACTCACAGTGGATTTCAAGATCAAAATCATTAACTTAAATCGATTTTTTAGAATTCATAAGGAAAGGTTTTTGAAGACTCTCGATGCTCAGACTCGGAGTGATAAAAGAACTGCTCACAGATCTCTATGGCTTTCGTAAGAACATCAATTTGCATTCAATTTACATCTTCTGTCTTTTCTATAATTTTTATTCTTTTCTAAAGTTTAGATCATCTATAGTACTAAGAAAAATTCAATTCTTCAAATTTTTTTTTTTTGATTCTTATCGATTGCTCATTGAAATCTTGATCTGTGCCTTCCAGGATTATAATTTTTTCTTTCAAAATTCTAGTTTTATCATAGTTTTAATGAAAAAAATCGTTTCTACTTGATTTCACGGGTTTACAGAGTGAATAAATAAAAATTTACCATACTTTGGCATATTAATTGACACCAAAAATTGGCTTCCAAACAGTTTTAAAGCTAAAAACAACGTCAGTGTCAGTGTAAACACCACTGGCACCCCGTCAATCATCGGGAAATAGAGACCACTCCATTTCAGCGCTTCTCGTTTAACCAAAATTTTCGAATCCTAGCAAAATGCTCATCCTGGATGTCACACTTGGTTTAGAGTTGATCAGAAATAAGAAAGAAATGATAAGAAAAAAAAATGGCTAGCCGAATACCGTACTCCCCAATTGTCGCATTATTCTCTATTTTTGAGATTTTCGTTATTCCAAATTTTTCCATATCACTCACTCATTACAATCCGCTTTTCAAAACGGGTTTTTTTCTTTCAATTTTTCCTTTTCTTTTCCTTTGTTCAGCCACATTCCTCACGCAAAAAAACCGAGGTCGCCCTCAAATTCCATTTTAAAAAAAGACAAAAACATGACACAATTACAACAATTACACACACCAGTGAAAGCCAAACGGGATTGACGAGTTTGTTTCTTTTCTTACCCCTTTTCTTACCCCAATCGCCTTTTCCCCCGCCTTCCTCCCGTTCAATTCGAATTCCCTCAATTTTCTGCCCTTTTTCTCGTGTTCCCCCCTCATTCTCCTCAATAAATCTTTCATCCTGGCATACACGCTTGCCATTGATGCAACTATCACTCATCCTTTTTGTGTTCGGTCATCTCATCCCCATCAGTGAATTAGTGTCGCTCAAATCTTTGCCCTTCCCCCAATAAATCGCTCGTTTTTTCTGTAAATATCCTCAAACTGGAACTCATTTCACTCATTGATAAGGTTTTTGAGAAAAAAAATTAGCGATTTTTTTAAAAAGAGTTGATAATTCAACAACTACAGTAGCTAGTCTTGCATCGAAATTCTTTTTTTAACTGGATATGTTTTTACCGCAGCCTAAATTCCCTGTGCCCTCCAGGAAGCCTCGAGAAAAAGTGTAATTGAGTGAAAACCTCGATTTCACTCTCAAAACGAGTCTCTCTCTTTCTAATTCGAATCGACGAGCCTCTAGGGGAAATTCGTGTTGAGTGGATGTTTCTGCCAAAAAGGAACCACGCTCTGTGACACCCAGGATAGGCAACCACATAGAAGAAAAGATCTCCGGGTTTCTCCAAATCGCCTCTCTTCCATCAACCGGATTCCCACTTGTTTTATCTACAAATGATAAACGGATTGGCAGAGACAAAAAGATTCGATGATGCTGGAGGGCATTGAATTGAAAGACGATATTGGATCAATCGATTTTTCGGTTTTTTTTATCCCTCTTGTTCTGAGTGCTCAACTCTCATAGCTAAAAGCCAAACTGAAACCGACGATGAACACCGAAGTTTTTCTTTTGCATTTTCTTGTGTGCCACCCAGAACTGACATTTTGCCATTTAAAAGTCTTTGATCGATTCTAAAAAAGGCGGTAGTCTCAATGAAAAGCAATTCTTGTTTTGCCGCTTTTTAATTCCGAAATTTCCTATTGCTTTATAGCTTATTGTACCTTGTGCATTCCAAAATGAAATTTTTTTTGGGTTAAAATTTGTTTTTATCAAGGTAATGCCGATGACGGAGGCGAAATTCTTACAAGCGCTCGGGTTACTCTATCTCGTTATCGGGAAAGCGTTTCAAAGAAATTCCGTCTATCAATTTCAATATTCTGTTGGATATTCAATGTAAAAGTTTTGTAGTTTTTCAAAATATAAAAATAATTCAGTTTTCTCCTCTCATCTGGCTGGGAAGCGGCAAGAAAGATTTTGGCCGAATCGCAGAAAAGGTTCGGCTTACGGTAGCTAGGCTTACGGTAGCTAGGCTTACGGTAGCTAGGCTTACGGTAGCTAGGCTTACGGTAGCTAGGCTTACGGTAGCTAGGCTTACGGTAGCTAGGCTTACGGTAGCTAGGCTTACGGTAGCTAGGCTTACGGTAGCTAGGCTTACGGTAGCTAGGCTTACGGCTTACGGTAGCTAATTTGCATCATTTTTTGTGCCCAAATACCCTACAGTACTTTTGTATCGTAAAATAGAAATTCTTTTCAGAAATTCATCCCTTTTCTCGTCATTCACTCGTCTTTTTGCCAATCTTCTGCCCGTTTACGATTTGATTCTTTTAATATTCAGTTTACTATGTCTACAATTTTACACAAGTAACATAAAAAGTGCATAAATCCTCTCCACAAGTGACCAAAATACCCTGATAACCAAAATTTCAGACGAATCTCTCGCTTGTGCCCATAAAAATGCCTTCCTCGCCTCGATGGGATTTCTAAATTTAGATATTTTCTATCGAGAGGCTTTACAGCCGAAGATCTACAATGGAAAGGTGAGATACCTCTTACCGAACTTACTCTTACCTGTTCTGGCATGCAGGCTAACAATTAACACCAAAAACTTTGCAATATCTTCGAATTTCGAGAAGTTGGTTTTTTTTCATTTCGGCAACTTTTAATAACTCGCTTCAAAATCAATATTTTTTTCTTTCTCTTTTCTTTTTTCTACGTTCTGGAATGCATGCTAGCAATTAACATCAAAAACTTTGCAATATCTTCGAATTTCGAGAAGTTGGTTTTTGAGTTGGAGTTGGAAAAAACCAACTTCACGAAATTTGAAGGTATTGCAAAGTTTTTTATGTTAATCGCTAGCCTGCATTCCAGAACATAGAAAAAAAAAGAAAAAGAAAAAACGTTGATTTTGAAGCGAGTTCTTAAGTTGCCGAAATGGAAAAAACCAACTTCTCGAAATTCGAAGATATTGCAAAGTTTTTGATGTTAATTGCTGGCCTGCCTTCCAGAACATAGAAAAAAAGAAAAGAAAAAGAAAAAACGTTGATTTTGAAGCGAGTTCTAAGTTGCCGAAATGCCTCTTTGCTGGGATTGGGCCTTCGCCCCAATATCGATATCTCTACCGTACTTTTTCCAGCCTCCACCCTCTTCATGTGATCATCCATTCGATGGATATTCCCTTTGTTGTCTTCTCATCCAGTCGATCTTCATCCTCCACTTTATCTACTACATTTCCCGCAAAATTTCGGACTCAAAGAAGAATCGGTTTTTTTACAAAGACAACAATTTATTGTCAGTCTTAGAAAAACGATCCGTTTCGTTATCTTGGCCTCGCTGACGATCGCTTTCTTTTGGGCAAACTTGTGGAATTCGACTATTGGCAGGTGTGCAACAGAATAAAACAAATAAAATATCAATCTATAATTGGGGAAAGCTAGCATGCCCTCCAGCTCTGACAGTGAGAACTTTTCCAAAATCTCCACTTCTAGATTTTGGTGCTTCTGGGCGGGTGCCCTTTTGGGCAGCGTTCTACCGTTCCCCTGTTCGGGTCGAGAGGAGTCCAAGAGTCAATCGAGCATCGGTGGGTGTCATGCTAAACTTTAGTTTAGAGGAAAATTTAAAAAAATGAATTTTAGAAACCTGCACCACAACAGCCTCAACCCGAGTGTTAACTATTGCGATCAAGAAAAATCCGCTCGTGAACCCCGGTCATTTTTTGAAAGCTGTCCTGTCAAATCCGTTTTAGAACCCGGGACTCAAAATCTTTTCCTCAAAATTTGCCAAGCCGCCTCGTTGACCACGATTTTGTGCTTTTTCCTACCGTTCACTACTCTGGATTTCGTCTCGGAAATGGTTTGAGCTTTGAAAAATACAGTATTCTTGTTATATTCTTAAATTACCGTAGTCCTTACTATATTCCACCTTTCCAGTTTGTCTCCATTGCAACAATCGTAATCCTGATTTCATCAATCTTCCAAAGAAACAAACCGAAATTCTGGGAAAGTGCGGCAAAAGATGCTGGTTTTTTTACAACAAAATACCCTACCCCAAAACTTTTTTAGGTCCTTTAATGTGGTCTGTATTTGTGGTGATTCATCCGATTCAGTTTCTGATTCGAAAAGCGGAGGTTCTACCACAGGAAGAAGGTAAGGAGAGGACTAAAACACAACTGTTGTAAACGCAAGTCCACCCACCCCACCAACTGCTCCAAAACACTTGAAACCCCAACGAAACCCCTCTCCACACATAACATGACTTCCAGAGGGAAAGCTCCATGCAAAAACTGCAACGATAACTAGCTGCATTTCACTGATTTGAGCCTGAGAACGATTGTGAAAAACCAACTGCGAAAAACTTCAAAATTCAACTAGAAATTCTATCACTTTCGTTTCTATGCCATCCAGATCACACGTTGCAGAGCTTAATTTTAAGCTCCAACTGCAAAAAACCAACTTCAAAAAACCAACTTCAAAAAACCAACTTCAAAAAACCAACTGCAAAAAACCAACTGCAAAAAACTTCAAAATTCAACTAGAAATCCTATCACTTTCGTTTTTATGCCATCCAGATCACACGTTGCAGAGCTTAATTTTAACCTCCAAAGCTTGTTTCTCGTTTTTAATCGGTGAAGTCGGATCATTCTTATCACCTCAATACACGACACTCACTTCACCCCAGGCACAATGCCGTTGCCGTGAATCGAAACGATGGATGCCATTGAGTGGAGAAAAAAACAAAAGAAAGCTCTGGGGGCGGCTTATCGCATTGCTCAATCGTCCAAGTATTTCCAAACTCACCCCTATCCCTCTCAATTCTCGGATATCGACAGATCCCTCACTACGAAACCCCCCAGCAATCTTCAAATTGGCACACAGGATCCCCCACTCACTCACTCCCTTCATCAAATCAACATCATTTCTGATCCGCACTTTTCTCTTTTCTTCTCTTTTCGTTGATCGCCTCAAGGTTGTCGGCTCTTTCACAAAACAGGCTTCTTTTTTGGCAATCCTGGGTGTCAGTCTTTCTTCTCCCCCCCACTCTTCATTTTCCTCATTCATTTCCATTTCCTCTTTTCTTCATATCTCAACGATCAGGGCTCGTCATTTACATACGATTCTATTGTTCTTAAGTTCTTTGTTTTTTCTTGGGTGTCCTTCTGGAGCGCACATTACACTTTGATGAACTCAACTTCATGTTAGACTCTATTTTCAAAAACTCAGTTCTCACTTTTATAGCCTTTCTTCGTTTCCAGAAGATTTTACGACGTAATTCGGATCCTTTCAAATCAAGTCAAAGATTTTCTTTTTGTGGATCGAATTTCCATTTCCATTGGGAATTGATCACTGATTGCTGACATTTTTGAGGCTTCAATTACAGATTGACACAATTTGTGCATTAACTTTAACTTTAAAACTTTGCCAATCACTGAGCTGAGATCTTATGAGTTTAATAACTTATCAGATTCAACTTCTTTTAAATCCCTGTTAGACTATAACATTCAATCCATCTCCCCACTTTTAGCCCCTTTATCCAGTTCATCAAACTAAACCAATCGATTCCCTTCAGGATTCTTTCTTCCCCTTCCTTCCCCTTTCTTCCCCTTCCTTCCCCCTTCTTCCCCTTTCTTCCCCTTCCTCTCCCCTTTCTTCCCCTTCCTTCCCCTTCCTTCCCCCTTCTTCCCCTTTCTTCCTTAATGAGTTCCATGTGCAGCTTTCGCTCCAAATTTATCGAAACTAAGCCATCTCTTCAACCGTTCGCCCTTCTTTCTTTCTTTCTTTCCTTTCTTTCTTTCTTTCTTTCCTTTCTTGTTTTTTTCATCACCCTTTCTCCCGAAATGAGCCGTTTTTATAGTCTTTCCGGATTCGATTCTTTTGCCTCTAAGATTGGCTATGAAACATTGATTGACTATGGGAAGAAATTCGCTAGAGAAACTTCAATTCAATAAGCAACTATGGAAAGAGCTTACAGAGTTTAAAGTGTAGTTTGCTTTGAACTCTGAGTAGTTCAGCAATTTTTTGATTTTCAATAGACTCAAGTATGACCTCACCAGGGAAATATACCAGACATCTCTACTCGATCTTTCGCTGTCTTTAGCTAACAAAACCTAAGTCAATGAACTAAATGTTTCGATGGCTATTCTTACAACAACAAGATTCCCCTCTCGATTACTTTGACCCGTGACGGATTTTGAATTTCTTAAAGAAAATGTGCTATTGTTTGCGTAAAGTTTGATTCGTATCTCTCTTTAGAGGCTCTAGAAGCAAGAGTTCGAGTTTTCTCCCTCTCTCTTCATAAACAAGGCACTCACCATTTCTCTGTCTCCATAACTCCCCAAAAAAGGGAACGCCCATCAAAAAGAATGGCAAAACCTCGAGAAAGCCAACCGAACCGAAATTCACAATCAAAACTCGAGATTCTTTTGGGTTCACTTTGATTCATTACTTTTTTTATCATGAATGCTACCAAAAAGTTTCAATTATATCAGTTATCTAGCAGTTAGTCACAATTTTGTTTGCTCTTTTCATTTGGCTTACTATCCAACACGAATTGAAAAGCATCAACCATTAAAAAGTTTCTGATTTTGCCAAACTGGCTTACACATGACCAAATGAGACCGAATTTAGGCTCCCAACTAAATAACTACTGCAGTTGGTTTTTCCTTTTTTCATTTGGCCCGCTTTTCCTCACCAATTTATAGGCCTCAGCCATTAAAAAGCTTCTTATTTTGCCAAACTGGCTTACACATGACCAAATGAGACTGAATTTAAGCTTCCACCTAAATAACTACTGCATTTGGTTTTTCACTTTTCATTTGCCTCACTATTTCTCACCAATTTAAAGGCATTTATTATCAAAAAGTCACATATTTTGTAAAGCTGGACCTCACATGAACTAAAAAACAAAATTTAAACTCATTTAACTCTGAGGTGAAAAACGAGGCAATTTGGTTCGTTAGGTCGTTTTCATTTCGGTCTCTTTTATGCGACATTTTAGGAAAGCCAATTATAAAATGTTTTTATTTTTTCTAAACTGGAGCACACAGAGCTGACGAAAAAAGGATTCAACCTTCCATTTACAATTTGCAAAATAATCGTATCGGCTTATTGTCGTTTTTTCTTTTCTTTATCACTTCACCCTTTAGAGTTCGAAGAGTTCGATCCACAAAATGCCACGTTTTTTTTTCCAAACTCCAGTTTAAGCTATGAGTTTACTTTACTTTCAATTGTTTTAAAAACACCATTCGACCAAATCTGCCTCCTTTTGATGGAAAACTCAGAAAACGCGAGGATCATCAGCAAACCGAACTCCTTTCTCTCCTATTCCTCACATCGAGCGAGTCTAATTCGCCTTCAATCAAAAGGCTCTTTTTTAAACTTTCACTACATGCCTTCATCTCTTCGTTAATACGATGTTGTTGAGGAAATTAGAGAAATTTTTTTATACTTCTGTGAGTCACGTAGGCATTAGCGTGCTTGCTTATATTTGAAATTCGTTTGTGTTTTGGAAGCTTACAATTTTAAAATGATTGGCTCATATTTACAATTGCAATTGGCTCACAATTGGCAATCAAGCTTACAATTGGTTGATTCTTGATCACGTAAGCTTCTTTCGGCATAAAAGCATCGAAATTACGCTTTACGATCGTCTAATAGCATCAAAAAATGTCTCCTCTGATGGAAAAGATGGGAAGAGCTTGTCCTTGATTGTGTGTTAAAGAGAAAGGAAATAAGCCGAATGAACTCTGCGCCCATTTCTGCTAAAGGAGCAATATTGTTCCTCGTTTTTGCCAGTGAAAGCATCAAGTCTAAAACACACTGTGAAACTTATCACAAAGCGAGGCTTTCATCTCAAGTTTTGAAAGTTAAAAAAAAGAGCTTAAAAATGTTTGTTTTCCTGTTTTGTGTATTCCATAACCTTCAAAAATATTTTATTTGTCTCACACAAATGCTCTGAATTTCAGAAGCCGGTGCCGTCCTTCCACTCGCTTTTTGCGCCGGTCTCGTTCTCCATTTCGCGTTTGCGCGTCCGCTCGCGAGAATGGAGAACAAGTGAGTCTTAAAATTTATAAAATACAAAGCAATAAATCAATTTTCAGGCAAGTTTACTATGCAATCTCGCTTCTATTCATTCTCACCGTTTCCATTTGTATTTTCAGCTCGCTTATCGTCGAGTTTTTAAGTGGTGAGCAAAGAATGTTCGGAAAAAGAATCAAAGGAAAATTTTAGGAGACCGAGAAGCAGCGATACTCGAGAATTCTCAATACATCAATCGACAGTATTCCCTTGAAGATTGTATGCCGCTCGGAAAGGAAAGACTCCCGAAACCCTATGGATATTGTGAATATCCGGTAAATTGAAAAAAAACAATGCAAAAACAGAGCAATCGTGTTTCAGGAAGGAGCTGGAGATATCCGAGTGCTGCTCGTTGGAGGCCTTTTTGCTGCAACAGATGCACCGTATATCTTCAAGTAAGAGAATTTCAGCTTAAACCCACGATTTTTCCCCCAACTGGAACACAGTACCACTTTTTAGACAATTCGGGCTACGGTATGACCGTTTTCGTGTTTTCACTCAAACCGGCTTCCATCCGCTGAAACCCGCGCAACAGCCAAGTGCGTCATCGAGCTTTCTTTTGTAACTAGCAGATTTTAGATGTACACCATCGTTTGATGAAAATTATTCAACGATTCAAGCCGACTGCTTTAATCATCAATCAAGAGTAGGCAAAACTTTGAAAAGATTTTGGAAAGGCAAAGCCCAATAGTAACAGTTTTGTTTTCATTTTTCATTTGCCCCACTTTCCTCACCAATTTAAAGACTTTAACCATTAAAAAGTTTCTTATTTTGCCAAACTGGCTTACACATGATCAACTGAGACTGAATTTAGGCTCCTAACCAAATAACTACTGCAGTTGGTTTTTCATTTTTCATTTGCCCCACTATTCCTCACCAATTTATAGGCTTCAACCATTAAAAAGTTTCTTATTTTGCAAAACTGGCTTACACATGACCAAATGAGACTGAATTTAGGCTCCCAACTAAATAACTATTGCATTTGGTTTTTCCTTTTTCATTTGGCCCGCTTTTCCTCGCCAATTTAAAGGCATCCATTAGCAAAAAGTTAAATTTTTTGCAAAGCTGGACCGCACATGAACTAATCAAACTGAATTTAAACTCTGATTTGAAAAATAATACTACTGGTGGCACTCCGTTGCATTTGCCCCACTATTCCTCGTTAATTTATAGGCTTCAACCATTAAAAAGCTTCTTATTTTGCCAAACTGGATTACACATGACCAAATGAGACTGAATTTAGGCTCCCAACTAAATAACTACTGCATTTGGTTTTTCATTTTTCATTTAGCCCACTATTCCTCACGAATTTAAAGACTTCAACCATTAAAAAGTTTCTTATTTTCCACGCTGGATTATACATGAATCAAGAGAGGCAAAGTTTTGAAAAGCTTTGATTTTGGCAAGACAAAGCCAATAGTAACATTTTTGTTTGCTTTTTTATTTGGCTCACATCCCACTCACAAAATTTGGCTTTATTTCGCTCACAAAATCATTTTCAGTTTTGGCGGAGAAAGAGCAGGACCGGCCAAGAATCACCAAGACGATATTATGATTGTAAGTGTAAAAAAGTAATTTAAAGTCTTTAAAATTATGTAACTTTCAGGCTTACCGTCGCTCGATCAACGTTTTTCTGAACGCGAACATTACACGGATAATCGTTGCTGGACCCCGGCCACTACCCGCCAAAGGAGCTCTCAAGAAATTGGAGGTTTCCAAATTTTAAGCAAACTCAAATGAACTATTTGTTCAGAAATATCTAAAAAAGTCCGAAGCTGTTCCAATCGACGAATTCACCTACAACCTTGTGGTTTGTCAAATTATAGTTCTGGATCAAAAGACTTTCAGAAAATACGGGGCCATGTGCATCGTCGCTTGAAGAATATGCATGAGAAAGTGACAGCAGTCTTTTTGGATGAAATATTCTCGAAAAAGGTTGCAAAAGTTATTTGGTTAGAAAAATTGATTTCAGAACAATTTGACTTTGTACGATCCGTTGAGTTATGTGGCTTATTTGGATGACAATATGGCGTTAACCGATTTGGGGGCACAGGTGGGGAAATTAAGTTTGAAAGAAAAAGAAATGATTGCTCGAGCTTTTAGAAGCTTAGTTTAAGAATTGATCTAAAGCTTTTGAAAATCTGGTGGCGCTTCGTTTCATTTGCCCCACGATTCCTCGTTAATTTATAGGCCTCAGCCATTAAAAAGCTTCTTATTTTGTCAAACTGGCTTACACATGACCAAATGAGACCGAATTTAAGCTCCCAACTAAATAACTACTGCATTTGGTTTTTCGTTTTTCATTTGCCCCGCTGTTCCTCACCAATTTAAAGGCTTCAACCATTAAAAAGTTTCTTATTTTGCCAAACTGGCTTACACATGACCAATTGAGACTGAATTTAGGCTCCCAACTAAATAACTACTGCAGTTGGTTTTTCGTTTTTCATTTGGCCCGCTTTTCCTCACCAATTTATAGGAATCCATTAGCAAAAAGTTAGATTTTTTGTAAAGCTGGGCCGCACATGAACTAATCAAACTGAATTGAAAATGAAGTGCGCCAAAATTGTTAACAACTTCAAAACTTACAGGTAGCCGTGAAATACTTTGAGCGAATCGTGGACACAGCACTGGGCATTGGAGAAATCGATGTCGACGATGAATATCTGGATGAAGAATTGGAGATGGGAAGAGAGAATGGAGCAAATTCAACAAAGATCCCGGTGAAACGAAAACAGAAAGGCGAAAGACCGACAACGCGACCACCGAAGCATCCGAATCGGTTGAAAACGAATTTTTTCAAAAAGGGCAAAATCTTCGTTGAAATGCCTTTGCCGGAAAATTCGACTGTAACGAATTCGACAATTTCTTGAATATTCCCAATTTTCTAGATTAGATTAGATTCTTTTTTCCAATTTCCTCTTCTAGTTTGCTCAAATTGACGGGTGCCGCCTCACTAATCACTTTTTTTATTTCGATTTTCGGATTCCAAAGTTTTTTTTTCGTTTATGCTTCGATGAAGGAGTGCTGTTTGAAATTGTGATCTCAAAAATGGAGCTATTTTTTTTTGGATTTTGCTTCAATGAAAATAAAAGAACAATTTAAAAGTTGATCAAAAATGACACTCCAATACTTTTACATTGATTTCGATTCAAAATGTTCCCAGAATTCCTAGGTACCATAAAATACCGTCAATGCTGTATTATAGAATGACATGTCATTCGATTTTTCAACCCCTCAAAATCGACCGATCCAAAAAGTAGGTAAGGGGGGACCACATGAATCAAAAGTTTAGAATTTATTAAAAACTATTTTAAATGATAGCCCTTTGTCCAAAACCGGCAAAAAACACGTTTAAAAGTGAAATTATTTTCTTACCCGCGACCCTCTTTGAATCTCCAAAAAAAAAATCCATTTGGGGGACTTTTTTTATAATTTTTTTTCAAAAAAATTATTTTTCTATTTTTTCGAAAAATAGTATTTTAAATTTTGATGCCGATGAAATATTGGTAGGTTTTAGGCCTAGATCTATCCATTGAACCCCCACAAGGAAGTCTAGAGTCAAGACTTCGAGGGGTTAGGGGAGGTTTCATTCTATTAGGTTGGCAACTTAATAATGACGCGTTTATTTAGCCAATCCCTTATTTGAAAAAACACAAAAAAGAGCTTTCTATTCGAAAGGTATGCTCCATTGTAGCTATGACTTCTTCCAATCTTTCTGCGCAAAACCCGTAAAAAATCCTCGAAGAACTTGGGGTTTTTGAGGCGAATAGTTTCACTGCTTTTAAGACCCGAGCATGATCGAACTTTTCTCCCTGCAAAAAGTTCTTCAGCACCAAAACAAAAGTAATCTGAAGGAGCATAGATTACGGTCGATACAGTCGCGTGGGGCAAAACTTTCAAGCCAAGTTCCCGATTTTCTTTAAGTGATCTTTGCAGTGTGAAGTTTTGCGTTGTCGTGTAAAAATCTGCCCCCTTAGCCCTAATTTCTTGAAAGACTCGTTAACTATTTTTTGATGCCAAAAAGTGTGGTTGGAAAAAATTGGACCCATTTTCCACTCGTTCTTGCCCAAGCTTTGTAAAAAGTTTTTGATTTTTGGAAGGGATACTACAAATATTTTTGCCAACTCACGAACGGTGAGTGTTGGGCAATCTTCATTAAGGCGAGCATGTCATGTCGACCACTTCGGGGGTTCCCTTGGCGTGGATTGTCAAAGTGTTTCATCGCCTTCGAATCTTTGAAACCATGGTTGACATTGCCGAATGTGTATACTTTCCTCTCCAAAACAGTGATGATTGTGAGATTTAGCTGTGACTTTCCTTGTTTAAAATCGTAGAACAATGCAGCTCGAATACGGAATTTTTTGTCCTCCATTTTTTTGCCAAAAAGCGAACGATGGAATTTGCAGCACTAAATGTTATTTATGCAGATATCTTTTACTTTGTATATATGCAAAAAAGAGGGAAGAGACGGCGCTTGAAATTACAAAAAACATGTTAAGTAGTGACGCGTCATTATTAAGTTGCCAACCTAATAATACAGCATTTACGGTTTGAGCCAAGCCAAGCCAAAGCCAAGCCAATTAAATTTGCTTTGAAAAATTTTGCTTTTAGACAATGTGAACTAAGAGGTTTTCGTTGCGGTATGTGAAGAATAGAATATTCAGCTTTATTTCAGAAAGTTTAAAACCATTCTCAAATAAAACCATTCAAATTTTATAACTCTTTAAAGTTGGAATCAAGTTATTCCCAAAGAACAAAAACGAAATTTCACTTTCCAATTTCAGAATCAATTCCAAAAAGATATAAAAACGATGAAACCAATAAAATTCAAAATTTGAAAGAAAAGAAAGAGAACGAAATGTTGCGGGAACAATCGCAGAAACGAGAACGAAGATCTAAAAGCGTTTTTTTTTAGCTCGTTGAACTTTGCGTTACCTTTCGAGTTCTGCTTTTTCTTTCTCGTTTCGCTGATCGTTGTACTTTTTGGGGTTCGGTAAAGAATAAAGTGTAATGACGACAGAGGCGAGTGAAGTGATCCCCACACAGTACACCACATAGATTCCTGACATTCGAGAGTTTGTATTCTGCATCTTATTTTGGAGGCATTCCAGAGGACTCATTGAAATGCATATTAGCAAAAGTTGTACCTCTAGCCAGTATGGTTCTAGGTTATAAGGTGGTCTAAGGGCATCACTTTTTGAGCCTTTGAGCCTTTGAGCCAATCACATTTTCTCACCCAACAACGGAAATGCGGAAGTTTTCGGAATGGCCGTCGACAACATATCCAAAAGTACCGTCATCGACACCAGACTCGTCAAGCCGATGGTTAACTGGAAAAAAGACAGAGAATTTTATACTGATAATTGTATAGGATGATTGTATAGGATACTTGTTTGGAAGTCCAAACAGCTCATGGGTAACTTGCTGGACTAAGCGGAGAAGCTACAGAGTGACCGCGAATTATACCGACTCACTTCTGAGGGTCTAGCTCAGTGAAAACTCAATGAATTCGTATGAAAGTTTTGGAGATGATTTTTGAGTATCTCTTCTGTAGCCAAAGCTCATTTTCTAACTGATTGATTTTTCTAGAGTCTTTATATGACCATATAAAATCGCGAGTCCATATACCATATAAAATCGCGAGTCATAGTTGAGAGTAGCGGTACACCTGGCCAAAAACCCAATTGAAGGTTTTTGAAGCCATTCTTTGTGGTGTTTGATCTTCTGTTTGATCTATTGATCTTTTTTCGTCTTAAACGTAATCATATTCATGAAATAACTTCAAAAACGGCTTTCAAAAAGCTTAAATTGGGTTTTTCGCCATGACAACTTTGTAAGGCCATATAAAGATTCTTAAAGCAAAAATCAATTAGAAAATGGGCTTAGCTACAGAAGAGATACTCAAAAATCATCTCCAAAAATTTCATACGAATTCATTGAGTTCTCGCTGAGCTAGACCCTCGGAAGTGAGTCGCTATAATTCGCGGTCACTCTGTAGCTTCTCAGCCTAGTCCAGCAAGTCGCCCATGAGCTGTCTGGACTTCCAAACAAGTTTGGCTTTGAGATTCAACTCTGCCAGTCCAGTCAGCTCACTATATTGGATTGCGTCATTTTTTATTGTTTGCACAGGCTTGAACAGGCGATCTATTTTGGAGCTGTTGACAGAATCCGAACACACTCATCCATACTTTAGAAATTAAAAAAAAATGGTTCCTGTGTTTCTAGGCTTAAGCCTAAATCAATCGGAGTACTTGAAACTTTGGTTTTATGTTATTGGAGTGATGTTAGTGCAAAAAAAAACGCTTTTGAGCGGGATAGCGATCAGCAAACAATACACCATTTTGCTCTTTTCTAAAGCGTGGACGATTGTGTTCGGATTCCGGTTTCAAACAGATTGTCTGTTCGGATTCCGTCGTGGCTGTCGTACCTTGACGAGTTGATCCTTTTTGTGATTGGGTGTCCAGAACATGCCCACAATGGACAGCGTTGTCAGAATGAAACATGGAGTGGCGATCACGTAAACGTAGAAATTCGGCACTCTTCGAAGGCTTATCAAATAGGAGACCTGTGTGTTTAAAATTATCTTAAAACCTCAAAAGAAAAACCCCCGCTTACCACTTGCATGCCCTCTTGAACGGTGTTGGTCGCGGAAATGTTTGTCATTTCCCATTCGCCGTTTCCCTGAAAGCGATTTCGAAAAAAGTCTTCTTGATTTTACGACTTAAAACTCTTTTTTAGAGGTTACATTATGTAAATTTAGGATTTCCAAAAATCAATTCAATCAATAAACAGACCCAAGCAAAAAATGACTTTGAAAACATTAGCATCTCTTCGATCGATCCCTCGAAAAACGAGACGTCTTCATCGCTTTGGTTGACGGCATTTTTATCAGTCTGTAATGATTTTCTTGAAAAAAACTACAATTCAAGTCTCACCGTCATCGTCGGATAGTGGTAGAGAAATGGGTTGATCGTTGCCCTCAGCGAGATGTATTTTCTAAGCACTTTTGTGTTTTTTTTGAGACATTTCTTACTTCTTGGGCAAAATTTCAATGTATTCAAGCCCAAATCATCACTTCTAAAGCAAAAAAACGCTAGTGGAAGTGTTTAAATGTTGAAAAATATGTTTTCAAACTATTGCAAACGATTACTATTCAAACTATTCAAACTATTCAAACTATTCAAACTATTCAAACTATTAGGTTGGCAACTTAATAATGACGCGTCACTACTTAACATGTTTTTTGTAATTTCAAGCGCCGTCTCTTCCCTCTTTTTTGCATATATACAAAGTAAAAGATATCTGCATAAATAACATTTAGTGCTGCAAATTCCATCATTCGCTTTTTGGCAAAAAAAATGGAGGACAAAAAATTCCGTATTCGAGCTGCATTGTTCTACGATTTTAAACAAGGAAAATCACCAGCTGAATCTCATCGCAGGATCATCACTGTTTTTGGAGAGGAAAGTATACACATTCGGCAATGTCAACGATGGTTTCAAAGATTCGAAGGCGGCGATGAAAGCCTCGTAGACGAGCCACGCCAAGGGCATCCTCCAGAAGTGGTCAACGATGACTTGCTCGCCTTAATTGAAAATTGCCCAACACTCACCGTTCGTGAGTTGGCAAAAATATTTGAAGTATCCCATACGACAATCAAAAACTATTTACACAAACTTGGGAAAAGAATCGAGTTGGAAAATGGGTTCCTCACGAACTGACCCAAAGCAACAAAATGTCGCCTCAATTTTGCTACAAAAATGTAAATCAAACGACTTTTTCACAGGGTTTCGACTTCTGACGAAACGTGGATCAACTACGAGAAAGTTAAACGCAAAAATCAATGGCTATCAGACCCCTCAAACCA